TTAAAGTCCCCACCCAGGACCAGGCACTCGTGAGGATCCAAGGAGCCGAGGAAGGCAGATGCCTGCTGATAAAAGCGCAGCTGCTCCGGGCCCGATGTTGGGGTGTAAATGTTGACAAGATTTACCACTAGCCCCTCCACGTGGACCCGGAGGTGCAGCAGGTGGTCCGGCACAGCCTCAGCAACCCCCACCACCTCGGGCCGTAGGTCTGGGGAGAACAGGGTCGCCACGCCAGCCATATGAACTGTGAGGTGGCTAAAATAGACCCTGTCCCCCCACTACAGCCACCAGCTAGCTTCAGTGGCCAGATCTGTATGGGTCCCCTGCAGGAAAACCACAGAGTACCCCCCCTCCCGAAGGAAGGAGAGCACCTGGCACCTGCGGAAACCCATCCTACAGCCCCAGGCGTTTAAAGTTGCAAAGATGATGTGTGCCATGGGGAGGGCTGGGTGGGATCCTTGCCGGCAGGGACACAGCAAACTGTGACCTCCAGCAAACAGGGATGGAGGCAAAGAATTCATTTAGTTTCTCCGCAACGGCCTTATCGTCCTTGAGTGCTCCTTTAGCACCTCGATCATTCAGTGGCCCTACTAGTTGTTTAGCAGACTTCCCGCTTCTGATGTACTTAAATTTGCTATTACTTTTGAGTGTTTGGCTAACTGTTCCTCAAATTATTTTTTGGCCTTCCTAATTGTATTTTTACACTTCACTTGCCAGTGTTTATGCTCCTTTCTATTTTCCTTACTAGGATTTAACTTCCACTTTTTAAAGGACGCCTTTTTGCCTCTCACTGCTTCTTTTACTTTGCTATTTAGCCACTGTGGCTCTTTTTTGGTTCTCTTACTGTGTTTTTTAATTTGGGGTATATAGTTAAGTTGAGCCTCTATTATGGTGTCTTTAAAAAGTTTCCACACAGCTTGCAGAGATTTCACTGTTGGCATTGTACCCTTTAATTTCTGTTTAACTAATCTCATTTTTGTGTAGGTCCCCTTTCTGAAATTAAATGCTAGAGTGTTGGGCTGCTGTGGAGTTTTTCCTAACACAGGGATATTAAATTTAATCATATTCTGGTCACTATTACCAAGTGGTCCAGCTATATTCACCACTTGGACCAGATCCTGTACTCCACTTAGGATTAAATCAAGAATTGCCTCTTCTCTGGAGGGTTCCAGGACCAGCTGCTCCAAGAAGCAGTCATTAAGGTGTTGAGAAACTTTATCTCTGCCTCCCGTCCTGAGGTGACATGTACCCAGGCAATATGGGGATAATTGAAATCCCCCATCATTATTATTGATTTTTTTATTTTAATAGCCTCGCTAATCTCCCTGAGCATTTCACAGTCATGATCACCATCCTGGTCAGGTGGTCGATAACATATCCCTACCACTATATTCTTATTATTAGAACATGAAATTACTATCCATAGAGATTCTGTGATACAGTTTGATTCATTTACGATTTTTACTTAATTTGATTCTACGTTTTCTTTCAGATATAGTGCCACTCCCTCACCAGCATGACCTGTTCTGTCCTTCTGATATATTTTGTATCGTGGTATTACTGTATCCCATTGCTTATCCTCATTCCACCAAGTTTCCGTGATGCCTCTTATATTAATATCCTCATTTAATACAAGGTACTGTAGTTCACCCATTTTATTTAGATTTCTCGCATTCGTATATAAGCACTTTAAAAACTTGTCTCCTTTTAACTGTCCGCCATTACACAATGTAATTGAATGAGTCTTTTTTTTATATGACAGTTTCTGATCAAACCCTGCCTGTATTTTATCATTTTCCATCCTCTCATCCTCATTAGGACATAGAGATTCTCTATTAATAGATCCTCCCCTAAGGGATGTCCGAACCACTTGCTCCTCCAAACCTGTCAGCTTTCCCCCAGCCCTTAGTTTAAAAACTGCTCTGCAACCTTTTTAATTTTAAGCGCCAGCAATCTGGTTTCATTTTGGTTTAGGTGGAGCCCATCCTTCCTGTATAGGCTCCCGCTTTCTCAAGTTTCCCCAGTTCCTAATAAATCTATACCCCTCCTCCCTACACCATCGTCTCATCCACGCATTGAGACTCTGCTGTTTTGCCTGTCTAACAGGCCCTGCGTGTGGAACTGGGAGCATCTCAGAGAATGCTACCATGGAGGTCCTGGACTTCAATCTCTTACCTAGCAGCCTAAATTTGGCCTCCAGGACCTCTCTCCTATCCTTCCCTATGTCATTGGTACCTACAGTACCACAAGCAGCGGCTGCTCCCCAGCACTATGCATAAGTCTATCTAGATGTCTCGAGAGATCTGTAACCTTCACACCAGGCAGACAAGTCACCATGAGGTTCTCTGGGTCATCGCAAACCCAGCTATCTATGTTTCTAATGATAGAACTTACTAAAGATAGTTCAGACCCAGGCAGACTGCAAAGAGCTACAAAAGGATCTCTCAAAACTGGGCGACTGGGCAACAAAATGGCAGATGAAATTTAATGTTGATAAATGCAAAGTAATGCACATTGGAAAGCATAATCCCAACTATACATATAAAATGATGGGGTCTAAATTAGCTGTTACCACCCAAGAAAAAGATCTTGGAGTCACTGTGGACAGTTCACTGAAAAACTTTTCAGCAGTCAAAAATGCAAACAGAATGCTTGGAGTGATTAAGAAAGAGACAGATAATAGGACAGAAAATATCATGTTGCCTCTATATAAACCCATGGTACGCCCACATCTTGAATAGTGTGTGCATATGTGATCGCCCCATCTCAAGAAACATATATTGGAATTGGAATTAGGGGTATGGAACTGCTTCGGTATGAGGAGAGATTAATAAGACTGGGACTTTTCAGCTCGGAAAAGAGACGGCTAAGGGGAGATATGATTGAGGTCTATAAAATCATGACTGGTGTAGCGAATGTAGATAAAGAAGTGTTGTTTACTACTTCTCAGAACACAAGAACTAGAGGGTCACCAAATGAAATTAATAGGCAGCAGGTTTAAAACAAATAAAAGGAAGTATTTCTTCACATAATGCACAGTCAGCCTGTGGAACTTCTTGCCAGAGGATGTTGTGAAGGCCAAGATCATAACAGAGTTCAAAAAAGAACTAGATCAGTTTATGAAGGATAGGTCCATCAATGGCTATTAGCCAGGATGAACAGGGATGGTGTCCCTAGCCTCTGTTTGCCAGAAGCTGGGAATGAGCAACAGGGGATGGATCACTGGATAATCACCTGCAAATAAACAGAAAAAACTTGTGCACCCTGGAACACTTCCCATCCCTGGTTAGCAGGCAGCACTAGCAGCTAAAAAGGGGCAGAGCTAGAGTGCAGCAGAAATCTGCTCCACTGTGTAGTACTGTTGTAGCTGTGTTGGTGCCAGGATGAGAGAGATACAGTGCGGAAGATATCTTATTCTTCTGTTTGTGAAAGAGAAGCTTTTGAGCTACACAGATCATCTTCTGGTCTGGGAAGAGTACCCTGTCATTGATGAGGCTGCGTTTTAGTCACAGGTATTTTTAGTAAAAAGTCATGGGCAGGTCATGGGGAGTAAAGAAAAATTCATGGCCCGTGACCGGTCCATGTCTTTTACTACACACTCTTGACTGAAACTTGGTTGCTCGGGGGGTGGGGAGGGAAAGTGGCAGCTCAGGGGTACCGTGTGTGCTCTGGGGGAGGAGAGGTACAGCCTGGGGGCACTGTGGGTGCTGAGGGGGGCAGCCCAAGTACACAGCTGCTGCTGGTGGGGAAGGGGAGCAGGCAGTGGTGTGTGGCCCAGGACTCCTGCTCATGCAGGGCACAGAAGGAGGGCTGGCAGGCTCCCTAACCTGCTCCTGGAAGTGGTTGGCCTGCCCCTGCAGGCCCTAGGTGGAGGCATGGCCAAGGGACTCTGTGCGCTGCCTCCGTATCTAGGAGCCAGACATGCTGGCCGCTTCCAGGGAGCCCCCCAAGGTAAGCACTACCCATCCCATACCCCAACCCGCTGCCTCAGCCCTGAGAACCCCCACCCGCCCAAACTCCTGCCGCTGCTGGCTGGAGGATGCATTTCTTGAGCAAATGCAAGAAACATCATGTCAGTGTTACATCCTTTCTTCATGTTGACCCCAGATATTAGAGAAAAGGCGGGTAAGAATATCTTTTATTGGATCAACTTGTGTTGGTAAAAGAAACTTTTCAGCTACACAGAGCTCTTCTCTTAGAATGTGTTAACTACTTATGCTAAGCAATCTGTTCCACCTTGTATTTAGCTGTAACACATAAGTACCTTTCCCAGACCTGAAGAAGAGCTCTGTGTAGCTCAAAAGCTTGCCCCCCTCACCAACAGAAGCTGGTCCAATAGAAGATATCACCTCACCCCCCTTGTTCCATTGTGCAGTAGACATTTAGCTTCACACAGTGCTTCCCCTTCCAAGTGGGAATTTGAGCTCTTTCAGACCAAGCGTGAGTGAGAATGTTATTCAGTTCCAAAAATCAAGAATCACTCACATGAAATATTCTGCCACTAGCTCAATAACTTTTCAATCAGGTAGTTCGCTTCAGTGCTTTTGATTTGTACAATCACTACATACAGAGAAGCAGTCCACTGGTAGCCAGGCCCCAAAATAATATACACATTCCTAGGTGAGAGTCAACAGCCCCAGGGCACCTTGCTGTAACTCACTCTGCCTGAATGTAAGTGGGCTGCTGCATTCTGCACTAAGTTATCACTAAGTTATCAATAGGGGCCACAGGAAGTTGTAAGAGGTTGCTGGAAGGACAAGAGCATCACTTAATACTTACAGTTCTACAAACTCAGGATTACCTGCATGAAGAGTATACTGTCAGTGCTGTGCAGGTTTTATTTAATTCCCATATTTCTGTGCAGCTCTATCAATATATCACCCTTCACTTACATGAGTCCAACAAACTGGACTGTGAAGAAGAAATTAGAACACCAACCCCATCATGCTACTTAATGATTCCTGGTTAGACTATACAAGGAATTCAATAAAGACCCACTGTATATTTTGATATTTTTATTAATATAGTCTTGGCTAATGACAATACAGAATCTGAATACAGAAATTTAAGATGTTTGTATACAAAGAAATAACCCTTTTAATAGCCAAATATAAAGCACTGCAAGTGTACCAGTACTCTGACTCCTGAAATAACTGTAAAATTACTTCTAGTAAAGAAAATAAAACCATTGTGGCCAGCTCAGTGGGCCAGTGATAATGCTTGACTCTAAAGTCTCAATTCCTCCAGTCTGGGTTAGCTTCAGGTAAAAAAAAAAAAAAAAAAAAAGAGGTTTGAGAAAGAATGGCTTATTTTTTATGTTTCCCATCAAGTCATTACGTAAGTGAATGGCAGTTGCAATCAGGAGCATCAAAAGCCAAGTGCAGAAGAGAAGAGCTCCTCAGAGCTGTCGGGCACACAGGACTTTTCCACCAAAGGAGTGTATGTGTGGAAGCAATTAGCAACCATATAAATTCCATTCATTAAGATAGCAAATCGCAAGAATTTACACTTCCGTTGGAAAAAAGTGAGAACATTTCCTCACTAGAATCAGTAATTTAAAACTCACTCAATAACTAACCATAATGCTCTACTAAAGCTAGCTGTTCAATGAATGCATATTACCCCCCAAACCCCAAGATCTCTCATAAGTAAGGCTAAGATTTTGTTACGGTTATTTTTAGTAAAAGTCAGACAAGTCAGAGGCAATAAAAAGTTCAGAGCCCATGACCTGTCTGTGACTTTACTAAAAATAACGGGGGTCAGGGTTAAGTTGCGGGGGAGGAATGGAGTCAGGAGAGGGGGTAGACAGACAGGAAGAACCACGGCAGGTGAAAGCTCTGGTTCCAGTGGCTGCAACGGGGGCACAGCACGGGGGGCATGCAGCCCCCGCTCCAGAGCTGGCCACAGCTGTGGGACAGAGGTGCACGGCCCTGGCTGCAGCCCTGGGAAGCTGTGAGGGGGGCACACGGCCCCCACTGCAGCTGCCGGGCAAGGGCACACAGCCCCAGCTGCAGAATGGTCCCAACTGCAGCCGCAGCAGAAGCCATGGGGCAGGGGTGCAGCGGCAGGGGGCACAGTCATGGCGGGGCACACAGACCCCACTCCGGAGTTGGCCACAGCTGTGGGACAGGGGTGCGCAGCTGCAGCCTCTGCCAACCTATGGCCACAGTGCGGGGAGAGGGACGGCTCACGGTCCTGGAACGCCACAAGGGGGGTGCACGGCTCCCTCTGCAGCCCCCAACATAGGGCTGGGGCACACAGCCCCAGCTGCAGAATGGTCCCTGCTGCAGCCCCTGGCCGAAGCCACAGGGCTGGGATGCAGCGGGGGAGAGCAGCCACGAGGAGTGCACAGCTCCTGGACAGGGGCTAACAGCCTGGCTCCAGCCCCCCACACCCTCCAAGCCACAGGGCAGGGGCTGCAGGGTACTGGTTCCAGCCATCCAGCCCCAGTTGCAGAGCAGGGGCACAGTCCTGCCTCCATCCCTGGCTTCAGCTGCTGAAGTCACAGAGATCTGGTTAAGTCACGGAATTTGTGACTGCCGTGACCTCCATGACCAAATTGTAGTTTTACTCAGACAATTCCACAGGTAGAGCTCAACCTGTGCTATCTGCACTAACTGCATAGTATATTTTTATTCCAAAACAGAAGTTGGCTTAAGTAAGGACTACAGGAAGGGAGCGGTTCCTCAACAAAGGTTATCCACAGGGTTAAATATGTACTTGTCACTTGTAAAATATTATACACACATATTATATGTATAAAATAAAAAAAGCTTTCATAGATTTTTTCCTAATACTGGTTATAAATACTATTGCAGTTTAGATGACAGTATTGACTGCAGATGAAATTCACTGAAATGTTATGCAACAGGTTTTCCTTGCAAAATGGACAGCACTTCAAAATGTGCTATGTCCAATGTATGTAACATGACAGTAAGAATTCTATTGTAACTGAGACCATTTGAGAACCCTAAGAGAGCACAGAGGTGCTCAGCTGCACTATTTGAACAAAAAACACCGGGGGGGTGGTATTTTAAAGTAGTTATTCTAATGACTTCACTGAAGGTTAATATTATTTCTGATCCATTTATGGTCACTTCTTCAGTAAACCAGTCTGCTCAATATATTGAAAGATTTAATTAACATGGCTTGACATTTTTCTCTGGCAATACTGAAATGCCTTATTACTATCTTTTCTCTATGGAAAAGGCAAAATTTAAACATTTACATTTCTTTCCCTACTAATTTTGTATTCATCCATTTAGCAAGAAAGGACTCATTACTCCTGTGTTTCTGACAAAGCACAAATCAGTAAGGCTGCTACTTAGATGAGTAGGAAGATGAGCAGCTCTATGAAATGACAGCTGCTCTAGAGGCAGCACAGGAGTTCAACACAGAGGCTATTGTGGTGGGTTTTGCTTTGGATAGTAAAGAGATACTCAGAATATAAAGCAATTTATAAACTGCAGCAATTTTAAGGTAGATCAAAATCTGATCTGCTCAGTAGCAGGACTCCTTTAAATTAGTAATTTAGTGACCATTAAAGCAACAATTTGTGGAATTTAACTGCAGGATTAGGTTATGTTATTCCACATCTCTGATATCAATGTAGAAGAGGATGAACAAGGGCACTGCTGTGCAGGAGATCAGAAAGATCTCAGCATTTTGTGATGGTGCCACTTGTATTATCTCTTTGGCACTGGTGGGTTGTAAACACCACTGGTAACTAATTTTGCAGTTGCACATCATGTTATGAAATCTGACTGTTGGCTCTGGAGGGGTAAGTAGACAAGAGGAGTCATTCAGCAAGCAGTATCACTATGTCAGCAACTGGGCCTGTGCTGTAATGGCTATATCATACCCTGCCATAAGCAAAAAACATAACATAACTAGATTGAAAGGTGTAGTACAAGCCTAACTCAGGCAAAAAGCATCCCTTACTACCACCTTAATATCTAATGAAAGTAACTTGAAAGTTCTTCCCCTATTACATTAGGAAAACTATTTTTTGGAAAGCATCTGAAATGAAGGCAGATTTCTCTTTTCCAACCCCCCCTTGTGTACCAATATCAGCATTATTCTGGTTTACTTTTGCTGCAGAGGCACCACTGGAACACACTACTACTTTGTGCTGCCCTACAGCAAATTGCTTTTAAGAAGTTCCCTTCAATAAACTGGAGGATTTTAATTAATGAAACAGAATCCAGAAGATATTTCCCTCAAGATAAAACGTAAATGCAATAAACATTTGCTCCCTAAACTACAGTGTCCCCTTTGACAAGGAATTCGCTCTTATCTCCTCTTTCCTAGTTAAGACAAAGCATACCTCTTTTATAATTAGACACTTGTGATGCCAAGGCAATGGCTATTCAGCACTGGACAAGAAATGAGGAATGGCCAGGAGTCTCACAGGCACACATTTAAACAAAGAAATAGGAAAGAGAATAACTTAACTTGGCATTGGACTCCCTAAGTAGTCAAATATTACACCACTGGACAACCTATAGCAACGGTCACGTCTTTCTAGGTGTAATAAGTAGTATGAATAATGGTGCTACTGAGCTATGCAAATAGATTGACCACTGCTAAGTCAGGTTAGGAAAGGCTCAGTATCATCCATTTTGCATTCCTAATATACTGGATTACATAAAATGAGCTCAATAAAATACTAAATTACTAAACTAAAACTTATCACAATCTCTATATAATGAATAAAATACTGACTGAATACAATCTGTTACAAAGTACATATTACAAATGTTACCATGCATTTGTACATAACATACTAACATGACCTCCAAGTCAAAGGCAAAGTGAAAGACATCCTTCCCAGTGAGAGACACCATTGCATCCCAACACTGGAATGGTTTCTTCTTAATCTGCATATGAAGTCATCTGCAAAGAAGGCAGAAATATGGAAAGTTAACTGTTAGCTGTTTTGTAACTATACTTTGTATTTAAGAAACTGAACTGTGGTGTGTGTATCCATTACTCAGTGCTAACAGTCAAAGATCATCTTCGATATTCCACATGTGGATCTATTAAGGTGCAGTCTACATGATGTCTAAGATTCCTTCCATCAGCCTCACCAGAACACACTTTGCCAGACACACCAACCACCCCCTCTGAATTCTGGAGCATGAGACACTGCCTGTGGGGATAAGGCAAGTTTGTTTTTTCTAATGGTTCATAAACACAACAAAGACTAGCATTAAGATTTAAAACCTTAGATCCAGGCAATGTTGGAAAAATGGATTTCCTTTATGCCTAACAATGTTGGGACATCACTATTTAAATGCATTGTGTGACATCCAATGGGGGAAGTTTGATAATGTGACAGACTTTCTATCTCAAAACTGAGGACATAACCTTTTCGTCCCTACTCCCCCAAATCCCTACAGTTCCTAAAGCAGTGTCTCAAATGGTGACCCAGGGAGAATTTTCTGGGTGTAGGCAGAGAGCAGGTTAGTCACATAGTGCTGGATCTGTTTCCAGGTGCTAAACTGAATTCAAAGCATACTAAACATTTCCCAAGTAAGCACTTAATGTGGTCACCACAGGGCTCTTATTTGATCACCACTGGGAAGGGAGGTAGACCATGTGATTGGAAGGGGAGGGGGATGCATGGTCTACACTATGAAAGTCTGAAGACCCCTTTTCTATGGCATTCTGGAACACTATACAAATTGTTACACACCAACACAAGTCAGAGTAGTGACTCCCAAATTCAGAAGAAGATACACTGAAAATAACTGAACATAAAAAAAAGTGTTAACACAAAGCTATGGTTCCATACCTAAGAACCCATAACTAAGGAAATGTGAAATTTAAGGCTGAATGTATAACCTTAACCTTGCTCACTTGCACAAAGCCTAATCATGTGATATTTCTGAAATGCCATTTTTTCCTACAAGAACTTAGTGACTGTACTTAAGTTTCCTCCACTGGGAAAGATAATCATTTATAGGAATAGTTCCCTATAAAAATATGCTTTGTATTTATATAGGGTGTGTGCAGTTAAACTGGGAAATAGTAATAGAGCCAGTAGAAATGTTTGGGTACATTTAACAGAATATGTGCAAAAAGTGTGAGATGTGCACAGTAAAACATACTATGAATTAGGGATGTAAATATTTAATAAGTTAACCATTTAAACGATTAAAATTATATTGTTTAACTAATTAAAGTGAAAAGGGACCTGGGCCACTCTGGCTGGTGGTTAATGGTTAGGCTGGGTTAACCGGTAAGACTAATGCTTACTGTTTAATGTTTCACATCCCTACTATGAATGTTCTCTAGAGGTTTCTCAAACATTTGAAGTAAGGCCCATACCCTGAGATATTATCTTGTAGACCACCTTCCCTTCTGTTCATGATCATGCAGACCACCTCAGAGAACAGAGCACCATTTTTTCATTCCCCCCCCCACGAGAAGAATACACCCATGACAGCCAACCAAATAACCGAGCAGAATGGGAACCAGGACACTGCCCCAGTGTTTTAACACCCTTTCTGAAGGGGACAAAAACCTGTATTCTGGTGCATCTCTAGATTAAATAATTTCTAAAGGGAGAGGGATGATAGATTTGATCACTTCAAGTCCCAGATTCAAGAGCTCTATATCTGTTCTAGATACAGACAACTGCTTTCAGGATAAAAGAGCCCTGAGGCAGCCAAACTTCTGTGACACAACATGTCACCCACCATGCCTCCCTTTCTCAAGGGAGCAGCTACCACCCTCATCAGCATCATGAAGATAAAGCTGATGTCCATATGATTGAGAGGGCCCAGTACTACAGATGGAGAGCCTCCAAACAATCCCCATTCAATTTTCAGATGCTAATTAGCAATAGACCTGTGCAATCAAGTATCATGAATTGTCAAAATCAGATGCTGTCCTGAATCAACTACTAGAATTAACCACATCTATTTTAATATTCATGGATTTGGATATTCATACTACCCCCATCACTGAGACTGCATTAAAGCAAGGACATGAAGTTTTGTTCCCGCATCTCCATTTTTCAGTCAAATAATTGTTTTTAATGTTATTGTAGAATGGATACCTCAAAGTGAGCTGTAACATTTTCCTCCAACCTATGCTGGCAGCAAGTTACATAGCCATGGGGCACTTGCCAAGAAAGTGTGGTCTCCTGCACTCATGAGTCTCAATCTTGAGGCTGGTAATCCAACTTTCCAGTAGAAAGAGGTTTTGAGTTCTATCCTTGAGGGGGCCATTCTGTTTTTCGCAAAGCCACCCCCTTTGTTGATTTTAATTCCCTGTAAGTCATCTCGTCAGTCACCCCTCCCTCCGTCAGGGCAACGGCAGACAATCGTTCCGCGCCTTTTTTCTGTGCAGACACCATAGCACGGCAAGCATGGAGCCCGCTCAGATCACTCTGGCAATTAGGAGCACATTAAACACCACATGCATTATCCAGCAGTATATGCGGCACCAGAACCTGGCAAAGCAAAACTGGGCGAGTAGGCGATGTCAGCGTGGTGACGAGAGTGATGAGGACATGGACACAGACTTCTCTCAAAGCACGGGCCCTGGCAATGTGGGCATCATGGTGCTAATGGGGCAGGTTCATGTGGTGGAACGCCGATTCTGGGCTTGGGAAACAAGCACAGACTGGTGGGACCACATAGTGTTGCGGGTCTGGGACGATTCCCAGTGGCTGCGAAACTTTTGCATGCATAAGGGCACTTTCATGGAACTTTGTGACTTGCCTTCCCCTGCCCTGAGGCGCAAGAATACCAAGATGAGAGCAGCCCTCACAGTTCAGAAGCGAGTGACAACAGCCCTGTGGAAGCTTGCAATGCCAGACAGCTACCAGTCAGTCGGAAATCAATTTGGAGTGGGCAAATCTACTATGATGCAAGTAGCCAACGCAATCAAAGATCTGCTGATAAAGGGTAGTGACCCTGGGAAATGTGCAGGTCATAGTGCATGGCTTTACTGCAATGGGGTTCCCTAACTGTGGTGGGGCCTTAGACGGAACCCATATCCCTATCTTGGGACCGGAGCAACAAGCCGGCGAGTACATAAACCGCAAGGGGTACTTTTCAATAGTGCTGCAAGCACTGGTGGATCACAAGGGATGTTTCACCAACATCAACGTGGGATGGCCGGGAAAGGTACATGACGCTCGCATCTTCAGGAACTCTGGTCTGTTTCAAAAGCTGCAGCAAGGGACTTTCTTCCCAGACCAGAAAATAACCATTGGGGATGTTGAAATGCCTATATGTATCCTTGGGGACCCAGCCTACCCCTTAATGCCATGGCTCATGAAGCCATACACAGGCGCCCTGGACAGAAGTCAGGAGCTGTTCAACCACAGGCTGAGCAAGTGCAGAATGGTGGTAGAATGTGCATTTGGACGTTTAAAGGCGCGCTGGCGCAGTTTACTGACTTGGTTAGACCTCAGCGAAACCAATATTCCCACTATTATTACCACTTGCTGTGCGCTCCACAATATCTGTGAGAGTAAGGGGGAGACGTTTGTGGCGGGGTGGGAGGTTGAGGCTAATCGCCTTGCTGCTGGTTACGCACAGCCAGACACCAGGGCGGTTAGAAGAGCACAGGAGGGTGCGGTGCGCATCAGAGAAGTTTTGAAAACCAGTTTCATGACTGGCCAGGCTACAGTGTGAAAGTTCTGTTTGTTTCTCCTTGATGAAAACCCTCGCTCCTTGGTTCACTGTACTTCCCTGTAAGCTAACCATCCTCCCCTCCTCCCTTCGATCACCAGTTGCAGAGGCAATAAAGTCACTGTTGCTTCACATTCATGCATTCTTTATTAATTCATCACACGAATAGGGGGATAACTGCCAAGGTAGCCCAGGAGGGGTGGGGGAGGAGGGAAGGACAAGGCCACACAGCACTTTAAAAGTTTAAAACTTTAAAACTTATTGAATGCCAGCCTTCTGTTGCTTGGGCAATCCTCTGGGGTGGAGTGGCTGGGTGGCCGGAGGCCCCCCCACCACATTCTTGGGTGTCTGGGTGAGGAGGCTATGGAACTTGGGGAGGAGGGCGGTTGGTTACACAGGGGCTGTAGCGGCGGTCTGTGCTCCTGCTGCCTTTCCTGCAGCTCAACCATATACTGGAGCATATTAGTTTGATCCTCCAGCAGCCTCACCATTGAATCCTGCCTCCTCTCAGACTGCTGCCACCTTTCAGCTTCAGCCCTCTCTTCAGCCTGCTACCTCTCCTTCCGGTCATTTTGTGCTTTCCTGCACTCTGACATGGTCTGCCTCCACGCATTCCTCTGTGCTCTGTCGGTGTGGGAGGACAGCATGAGCTCAGAACACTTCATCACGAGTGTGTTTTTTCTGCCTTCTAATCTTCGCTAGCCTCTGGGAAGGAGAAGATCCTGTGATCCTTGAAACACATGCAGCTGGTGGAGAAAAAAAGGGACAGTGGTATTTAAAAAGACATTTTATAGAACAATGGGTACACTCTTTCATGGTAAACCTTGCTGTTAATATTACATACATAGCACATGTGCTTTCGTTCCAAGGTCGCATTTTGCCTCCCCCAAGCGCGTGGCTAGCCCCTACACCCTCCCCATGGCTAACAGCGGGGAACATTTCTGTTCAGCCATAGGCAAACAGCCCAGCAGGAACAGGCACCTCTGAATGCCCCTTTAAGAAAAGGACCCTATTTCAACCCGGTGACCATGAATGATATCACTCTCCTGAGGATAACAGAGATAAAGAATGGATGTTGTTCGAATGCCAGCAAACATACACTGCAATGCTTCATTTTACAATGATTCCTGAGTACATGCTACTGGCCTGGAGTGGTAAAGTGTCCTACCATGGTGGACGGAATAAGGCTGCCCTTTCCAGAAACCTTTTGCAAAGGCTTTGGGAGTACATCCGGGAGAGCCGCGAATGCCAGGGCACATTAATCATTAAACATGCTTGCTTTTAAACCACGTGTACTATTTTAAAAGGTACACTCACCAGAGGTCCCTTCTCTGCCTGGCGGCTCCGGGAGGCAGCCTTGGGTGGGTTCGGGGGGTACTGGCTCCAGGTCCAGGGTGAAAAACAGTTCCTGGCTGCTGGGAAAACTGGTTTCTCCGCTTGCTTGCTGTGAGCTATCTTCCTCGTCCCCAAAACTTGCTTCTGTTTTGCCTCCATCTCCATTGAAGGAGTCAAACAACACGGCTGGGGTAGTGGTGGCTGAACCCCCTAAAATGGCATGCAGCTCATCATAGAAGCAGCACGTTTTGGGCTCTGACCCGGAGCGGCTGTTTGCCTCTCTGGTTTTCTGGTAGGCTTGCCTCAGCTCCTTAAGTTTCACGCGGCACTGCTTCAGGTCCCTGTTATGGCCTCTGTCCTTCATGCTCTGGGAGATTTTGACAAATGTTTTGGCGTTTTGAAAACTGGAACGGAGTTCTGATAGCACGGATTCCTCTCCCCATACAGCGATCAGATTCCGTACCTCCCGTTCGGTCCATGCTGGAGGTCTTTTGCGATTCTGGGACTCCATCATGGTTACCTCTGCTGATGAGCTCTGCATGGTCACCTGCAGCTTGCCACGCTGGCCAAACAGGAAATTGAAATTCAAAAGTTTGCGGGCCTTTTCCCGTCTACCTGGCAAGTGCATCTGAGTTGAGAGTGCTGTCCAGAGTGGTCACAATGGAGCACTCTGGGATAGCTCCTGGAGGCTAATACCGTCTAATTGTGTCCACAGGACCCCAAATTCGACCCAGCAAGGCCGATTTCAGCACTAATCCCCTTGTCGGGGGTGGAGTAAGGAAATTGATTTTAAGAGCCCTCAAAGTCGAAAAAAAGGGCTTCATCGTGTGGACAGGTACAGGGTTAAATCGATTTAACGCTGCTAAATTCGACCTCAACTCCTAGTGTAGACCAGGGCCAAAAGACAGAAGGTACAAAGGACTGGAGACTTGAAGGATGTGGCAAGAAAAATGGGACTTTAGACCAAATATATGGTTGTAAAATGATAATCTTGGACAAGTTTCAGAGTAACAGCTGTGTTAGTCTGTATTTGCAAAAAGAAAAGGAGTACTTGTGGCACCTTAGAGACTAACCAATTTATTTGAGCATAAGCTTTCGTGAGCTACAGCTCACTTCATCGGATACATACTGTGGAAAGTGTAGAAGATCTTTTTATATACACACAAAGCATGAAAAAAAATACCTCCTCCCACCCCACTCTCCTGCTGGTAATAGCTTATCTAAAGTGATCACTTTCCTTACAATGTGTATGATAATCAAGGTGGGTCATTTCCAGCACAAATCCAGGGTTTAACAGGAACGTCGGTGGGGGGGGGGGTAGGAAAAAACAAGGGGAAATAGGTTACCTTGCATAATGACTTAGCCACTCCCAGTCTCTATTGAAGCCTAAGTTAATTGTATCAAATTTGCAAATGAATTCCAATTCAACAGTTTCTCGCTGGAGTCTGGATTTGAAGTTTTTTTGTTGTAATATCACAACTTTCATGTCTGTAATCGCATGACCAGAGAGATTGAAGTGTTCTTCAACTGGTTTATGAACGTTATAATTCTTGACATCTGATTTGTGTCCATTTATTCTTTTACGTAGAGACTGTCCAGTTTGACCAATGTACATGGCAGAGGAGCATTGCTGGCACATGATGGCATATATCACATTGGTGGATGTGCAGGTGAACGAGCCTCTGATAGCGTGGCTGATGTTATTAGGCCCTGTGATAGTGTCCCTTGAATAGATATGTGGGCACAGTTGGCAACGGGCTTTGTTGCAAGGATAGGTTCCTGGGTTAGTGGTTCTGTTGTGTGGTATGTGGTTGCTGGTGAGACAAGCTTACTTAGCAATTGATAAACAAGTTAGATGGTAATTAATGCTCCTAGGCATTTAAAACAACAGTTAGGTGAGGGAGGAAACAGAAGTCATGATTAGAGAGGGGAAATGCCTCTACATGGAATTTTTTCAGCTTGCAACAACTGAGAAAGATCAGATCTGAGGCCATTGTAAGGCCTATTGTTTTATATGGATGTGAGAGACACGGGCACTTACTAAGAAGGAAGAAAGACAGCTTATAAATACCTTCAAAAATACAGGGTTGAGATGAAGTTTTTGGCTAGTAAGGCCAAAAGAAGATATAACAGGGAATTGCAGGAGGTCTATGGAGAAGCAAGTATAATAGTAGTGAAACCCTGAGGACTCCAATGGGCAGGACATGTAATTAGGATGACGGAAGACAGACCAACTAAGCATCTCTTGTAAGGACATAGTTGTGGTGTCTGACCAAAGAGAAGATGGAGGAAAAAAATTTAAGTGCTCTTAATGTGAATTACCATCAATGGGAAAAAAATATGCACTTGACAGAAAGATGTCGGGAAGAACAGCCTGGCCAAGGATTTCAACGGTCTACACAGTCAGGGAGGAAGAGGAGGAGGAGGAGATGTGTATTAAATAATTATTTATCCATAAAAATTCTTACTTGTCCTAAGAAAGCAGAAGAATGGGTTAGACAAAGTAGACAAAGTTTGAATGAATATTTTCAGATAGCTATTTAAAATACATACTAAAATGCATTGCTTTAAGTTCACTGTCACCATTCTTTAATTGTCTTTAGTAATTGTCAGAACTGAACTAAGCCAGATTGTCAGAACTGTTCGCCAGATGGAAGCTATCCCCACTATTAGAACAGGAGCACATGACCGTGTTCTCAAGACAAAGCTCAAAACAGAAATTAAGAACTGAATACAGTTCTCTACGTTTTTCTGGAAATTGAAAGTTACATTTGAAAAAATGAAATCAAGTTTTCATAATACCTTTTTCAATCAGAGCATCAATACTCAATTAAGTAAGATTAAATATGCTTATTCGGTCCTCAAGGTACTGAGTCACTTCGCTTTAAAAAACACTTGTGTGAATATTTAAAAATGTAACATGAAATGGACTGAACCTCTTAAACAATCTCAGGTCAACTGATTGACTTTCCAATGCCTTGAAACATCTACTATGGACAATTTATTTTTCTTATTGCAATTATAATCAAATGAAGGTCTTACCAAAGAATTTAAACATGGTGTCCAGGAACTGCACTGCTGTCTCCCTCACCACCTTGCATCTGCATTTGCATCTGAGCCTGCATCCTTGCAATCATCTCTTGCATGCGACGAAGCTGAAAAAGACAAATAGTACAGAAAAAGCCCTTTAGCCCTCTCTCCTAAGCAAGTGGTTCTTCACTGCCACAACGGATTGGTTCCTATTCAATGACAACTAATTTTGATCTTCACTAATACTTTTTTGATGGTTAGTTGTAACATTAAAAAAATATTGCTTTTCTTCACTCACAAAAATATGTAAGTAATTTACTGATCAAAACAACAGGCATCACTTTTGATATTTGGCACCAGTTTCCAAAGTATGTCTCAGCAGAAGCTTCTACTTCCTCTATTTCCTTTTGGTGTTATTTTCTTAGTTACAGCAATACATTAAAATGGATTGTGTGTGGTGGTGTTGAAGAGCTGAATTAAACTACAGTATTTACAGTCACTAAAGTTATTAGTAAAGCCCCAGTCTGCAAGCTGACTTATGTCCCCTCCACCCATTCCTTGATCCTTGACAGAAAGAGGCAATACTTGAAGCATTCCAGCTAGTGAAATAATTCAGACAACTTCTTCTGTGGCAGACAGGGATTGCTGCCAGGAACCCAGTAGTGCTGGTAATCCATCTATCCAGACAAACATATAGGATATTAAAACTAAGAAAAACTTAGATTGGGGTTCTACAAATACAATTCAATAATCCTAAAATGTTTGAGTCTTTAAATGCACAAGTCAGGAAACAACTGTTGAGATTAACCCAACCATATTGCATATATGTAGTCTTCTTAAGTTCTATTTAGGCTATTGAATGATGCTCTTGATAGACTTAAAATAATGGAGCCAATATTGCTCTAGGAACTTTGGTTTTATTATGCCCTTGCTTTTGTGCATTTAAGTTTTCACCCTTATTGCTGCATTAATACGTTTCTGCAATTTATTTTTTTAATGAAGTTAGCATAATGACCCCAACAACCTTACTCCATCCCAGCCACTCCCCACATTGACAAGCCTGCCACCCCTGTTAACTACAGTCCTCCTCAAGAGATCATCCCCACTCCAGTGACAAGAGCACCAGTGGAAGGCAGGAGGTTCAGAAGGGGTCTTGTCCTTGTTAAAAGGACACAGAGAAAGGTTTCTGCAATTGTGGGGAGCAAGATGTTTTTCCTGCTGTGAAGGACTACAAGCTCATCTCTAGAATCATAGAATATCAGGGTTGGAAGGGACCTCAGGAGGTCATCTAGTCCAGGGGTCGGCAACCTTTCAAAAGTGGTGTGCCGAGTCTTCATTTATTCACCTTAATTTAAGGTTTTGCGTGCCAGTAATACATTTTAACTTTTTTAGAAGGTCTCTCTATAAGTCTATATATTATATAACTAAACTATTGTTGTATGTAAAGTAAACAAGGTTTTCAAAATGTTTAAGAAGCTTCATTTAAAATTAAATTAAAATGCTGATCTTATGCTGCTGGCCCGCTCAGCCCGCCGTCAGCCTGGGATTCCGTTCACCTAGGCCAGCAGCAGGCTGAATGGGGCCTGCGGCCGGGATCCCGGCTGGCAAGGGGCCAGCAGCCAGAACCCCAGACTGGCTGCCAGTCTGGGGTTCCATCCGCTGGCTCCTGTCAGCCAGGATCCCAGCTGCTGGCCCCACTCAGCCTGCTGCCGGTTTGGGATCCTGGCCCTGCCCACAGAGTGGGTACCTACGTTCTCCCTGGTTCTAGCCCATTCTCCTCCTCTCTCTCTGCACTGAGCTGAGGGTGGGAGTGCACTGACCGTAGGGCTGGGGGTGAAGGAGCAGGCTGGGGGTTGGGGTGTAGGGTCTGGCCAGGAGCTAGAATGAGGGAGGGGACTCAGGGTTGGGGCAGGAGGTTTGGGTGTGGAGTGCTTACCAGTGCAGCTCCCATTTGGTGTGAGGGGCACAGGCGGGAATGTGTGTGTGCGGGTGTGTGTGTGCAGGAGCACCCATTTGGTGCTCAGGGTGGGGGTGGGAATGTCAGGGGCCCAGGAGTCATGGCAGGAGGCTGGGGTGTGTGGGGGGTGCTGGAGTCAGAGCTGGGTGTGTGTCAGGGGGTGTAGGGATCAGGGTAGAGGGCTGGGTGTGCTTCCAGCCCCCTGCCCAGAGCAGATCATGGCAGGGCGCTGGAGGGGATATGCCCCGATTCCACCATCCCTTCCCCAAGGCCCTGTCTCCACCTCTTCTCTGCCTCCTCCCTGGAGCAGAGAGTGCTCTGCGACTCCGCTTCTCCCCCTCCCTCGCAAGGGCCATCAGTTGATTGGCAGCAGGGAGGGAGAGGAGGAGAGGCAGGAACACAGCACACTAGGGAAGAGGCTGGGGAGGGGGGAGCTTGCCTGCCCTGCAGCAGCAGCCAGCAGGACCAAGCTTCTTCACCCTGCCCCCGTGGGGGGGAAGCGGGGGGCACAGAGAAGAGCAGGCCAAGGTGGGCAGGATTTTTAATGGCACGCTGCTGCCTGCTTGGATCCTGGCCTGGGTTTGGCAGCTGGCTGAGTGGGGCTGGTGGCTGGGACCCAGCAGGCAGCAGCATGCCATTAAGGGGAAAAATAAAAAAAAAAAAAAAAGGGCTCATGTGCTGTCTTTGGCATACGTGCCATAGGTTGCCGACCCCTGATCTAGTCCAACCCCCTGCTCAAAGTAGGACCTAATCCCCAACTAAATCATCCCAGCCAGGACTTTGTCAAGCCTGACATAAAAACCTCAAAGGAAGGAGATTCCACCACCTCCCTAGGTAACCCATTCCAGAGCTTTACCACCCTTCTAGTGAAAAGGTTTTTCCTAATATCCAACCTAAACCTCCCCCACTGCAACTTGAGACCATTATTCCTTGTTCTATCATCTGGTACCACTGAGAACAGTCTAGATCAGGGATAGGCAAACTTTTTGGCCAGAGGGCCACATCAGGGCGCAAAACTGTATGGAGGGCTGGGTAGTGAAGGCTGTGCCCCCCCAAACAGCCTGGCCCCTGCCCCCCTCCCACTTCCTGCCCCTCTCAGAACCTCCGACCCATACACCCCCTCTCTCCCGCTCCTTGTCCCCTGACCACCACCTCCCACCCCTAACTGCCCCCCCGTGACCCCACCCCCATTCAACACCCCCTACTCCCCGTCACCTGACTGCCCCCGCCATCCACACCCCCACCCTCTGACAGGCCCCCAGGGACCCAGCATGTTATCCAACCCTCCCCCCCACCCCCAGATTGCCCTGACCCCTATCCACACCCCTGCCTCCTGACTCCCACACACTATCAACCCCCTTTTCCCTGCCCCAGAAGCTACACCCCATCCAACCACCCCCTGCTCTGTTCCCTGACTGCCCCCTGGGACCCCCTGGCACTTATCCAACCTCCCCCTGCCACCACCCCCTTACCATGCCGCTCAGAGCAACAGGAGTCTGCAGCCCCGTTGCCTGGACAGAGCAAGCCGCACTGCCCGCGTGGCAGTGTCACTACAGGGGAGGAGGAACAGTGAGGGAGGTGCCGGGGGCCAACCTCCCTGGCCAGGAGCTCAAGGGCCAGCCAGGATGGTCCTGCGGGCCAGACGTGGCCCGCAGGCCGGAGTTTGCCTGCCTCTGGCCTAGTTCCATCCTCTTAGGAACCCTCTTTCAGGTAGTTGAAAGCAGCTATCAAATCCCCCCTCATTCTTCTCTTCTGCAGACTAAACAATCCCAGTTCCCTCAGCCTCTCCTCATAAATCATGTGCTCCAGTCCCCTAATCATTTTTGTTGCCCTTCGCTGGACTCTTCCCAATTTTTTCACATCCTTCTTGTAGTGTGGGGCCCAAAACTGGACACAGTACTCCAGACGAGGCCTCACCAATGTTGAACAGAGGGGAATGATCACGTCCCTCGATCTGCTGACAATCCTCCTACTTATACATCCCAAAATGCTGTTAGCCTTCTTGGCAATGAGGGCACACTGTTTACTCATATTGAACTTCTTGTCCACCGTAACCCCTAGGTCCTTTTCTGCAGAACTGCTGCCTAGCCCCTCGGTCCCTAGTCTGTAGCAGTGCATGGGATTCTTCTTTCCTAAGTGCAGGACTCTGCACTTGAACTTCATCAGATTAGTGGGGGGGAGTTAGTAATGAAAGGAAGTTATTTGACTGATTATCAGAGTGCATGTTCAAATGCAAATTCTAATTGCAGTATGCAATCTCCTTTTGCTTGTAATGCTGAGTAACAACTATATGCTAAGTGTGAAATTAAACTCACATGGAAAGGTGCCCTATTAAAGTGCTGAAATTCTATAATTACAAGACAAGCTTCTCCCCACTGCCCTGATATGTGGATAATCCTGGCTTAGCAGAACTGTATCAGAGGCAAGAAGATAATTCAGTGTCAACTGTCCATTCAATAACCTGGTGCCTCAGAATGCTCTGAAGGTGCAGACGGATGTCAGTTGTAGCAGGGATTTTGTAATATGGTCACATCTGCTCACTATAAATTGGAGTGAGCCCAGGCTCATTTCACAAAGGACTTAAAACAACCAGCAGATGGCAAACTACTTTCTGATCCAAAACAGATATGAGCCGGCAGCCAGGAGATTAAAGGTTCCCAAGGTACAGTCACTACCAGCAGGAGTGAGTTTGTGTGTGTGGTTTTTGGAGGGAGGTGAGGGGGTGAGAGAACCTGGATTTGTGCAGGAAATGGTCCACCTTGATTATCATACACATTGTGAAGAGAGTGGTCACTTTGGATGGGCTATTACCAGCAGGAGAGTGAGTGAGAGGGGGGGGGGGGGGGGCGGAGGGTGAGAAAACCTGGATTTGTGCTGGAAATGGCCCAACTTGATGATCACTTTAGATAAGTTATTACCAGTGGGGTGGGAGGAGCTATTGTTTCATGATCTCTGTGTGTATATAATGTCTGCTGCAGTTTCCACGGTATGCATCCGATGAAGTGAGCTGTAGCTCATGAAAGCTCATGCTCAAATAAACTGGTTAGTCTCTAAGGTGCCACAAGTACTCCTTTTCTTTTCATTACCTTGAGCTATCCAGTCCCCTCCAAGTTGGAATTTTGAAAAAAAAAATCAGCTTTGGAATTACCAGAGCAAGCAAGCAAGCAGTTGTGACCATTCTTAAGAGAGAAAGTTTTCATACTCCTGTCACTCACTACTGAAATTGTTTTAACTGTTAAAAAACAAAAACAAAACCTAAAAAAACTTCTGCACTGAGACCACAATGCAATATTTAGCCCCAAAGAAAATAATTAAGGAATGAAAAGTGGGCATTTTTGCAATACAAAGCTTGTCTATAAGGAAAGCAGTCTTACTTCAGCTTCTTTTTCCAGCAAAATCTGATCTTTATTCACTTCCTCATCTTCAACTTTCCTAAGATTAAAACAAAGAGGCATAAACATTCATCAACGTGTGTGCCTTCTGGTTCATTTACTTAAAGTGGCAGTTTTATATCTGTCCATAGGTAAGGCTAAGATTATGTCACTAAGGTCTTGGAAGTCACGGATTTCATGACTTCCAGAGACCCCTATGACATTTTCTGCTTCAGCCCCAGGCTACCAGGGGAGCCCTCCCCTCCTTCCACAGCAGGGCTTAGGCTCTCATCCCACATTAGTCTCATTTTGTCAGTAAAAAAAAACAAAACAAAGTCAAGGTCTTCCGTGAATTTTTGTTTATTGCCTGTGACCAGTCCCTGACTTTTACTAAAAATAACTGACAAAAATCTTAATCTTATGACTACGCAACCGAGAGTCTCATTCTGAACCAGACTTGCATTCTTCTCTCTCACATGCAGTTTCTTTAAATACACACAGGATTTAGGCACTTTCCTCACATCAACTGAAAAACATTTTTCATAAGAATGAACCTTTTTCAGAGCAAGTACACCGCTTTTCCCCCCCATCCACCTCCCAAAAATAGAAAAAGAAAAACGAACAAAGGAGCTTAACACAGGCACAAGTGAGGAATGCAGAAGGTTACTTGCTGTGAATTAAGACAGCTGTCATCCTTGATCTATATGCAAGACTCAGTACTATTTTTGAACAGTGTTTAAGTGCAGTAATTGATACAATAAAGTTGTGTCCATGCAGGTATTTGATTACCACAACAGAGGTATGCTAATATCAAACAAAATTTGTTCACCAGCACCTAAACACAATTTACTAGAGATGCTACAAGTACTCCAGTGTTCTCCTCTGTCCTTCACAAGTTCAACCACCTTATTTTCTAAAACCATGTCAGAGTAGCACAGGTAGACCCATCTCAGAAGAGGTGCTAAGGTTCATATATTGACATGACTGAAGCAAAGCAGAAATTTAAGATGAACAAACTATGAGCATGAGTTCAGAAGTGACATGTTAAAATAACTGGGCATCAGTTTTGGGTTTTCCTAGAGGCCCACTAGGATCTGTGTCAGGAATTTGGCTGCCCCTGCAGCTAGAACTGTTTCCTATAAGATCAGAGACATGAAATAGAACTAGCATATGCCACAGGTTTGATCAACCATATGAAAAGCCATACATTACTATCAAGATTTAAGACCAAGCAAAATGTCTTCTCAAAGTACCAAGTGCAAACCTAGAGCTTTTTCAGAAGAAAGAGATCCTTCACAATTCCTCATGGCTTCTAAATACCTTGCCATTTAATTCAGAGCTGAATTTCATGTAGCATATCACTGCCATTCCAATAACCTGGGAATTTTATTTGCATTTACCATTGACTCAGTGGGACCAACACCTTAATTCCTTTACTCTGCTATATATTCCATACATAATTCAACTTGCTCAATAAGTGGGTGCATTTAGCAATGTATCTGGTAAGACCTGTTACAAAACACGTGCACGCCTGATTAAGTGACTTAAATAGGATATAAACCCTAGATATTTTATATGGTGCTCACTGATATACATATCTGAAAGCCTCCCAAAATGAGGGCAGAGCAGCATTCTTCCCTTTCTCCACCTATGGGGCAGTTTGAGAGACACAACAGAATACAGGTTTTTTAAAAGTGCGTATACATCTGTTTGGAGATCTTACTGGGAAAAAGCAAGCTCCAAGCAAATCAGTCTAAGATCAGTTTTGCAGTCATGTGTAGAGGGGTAAGCGGAAGTGGTACAAAGAGCAATATATATTGTTAACACAGCATCAAATGCTAACAACCACTAAAAAGTACGCTTATCACCTATGTAGGCTACAGAAGAGTGATGATGCTGTCAACAATCAGCCTGGCTTCAGGAGCCAATTGCACTTGCAAAGAAGGTTTAAATTTTAACTACTGTGTAAGTAATCCAATGCAAGTTACAAGGGCCACTTCAACTTGAAATTTAGCCAATGTCAAGGTGTTAGAAGTAGTTTCAAGTACTACACATGCCCAAGTTTCCCTGCCGTTTTTTTCCTCCTCTCCCCACTGCAGCGTGAAAGACCCATACAAATTAAAAAATGTTTATTAAAGCTAATGTTAAAAAAATTATATAGTACACAGGTTAAGAAAAGAATGTCTGTACATCTCGGTATAATGCTTAGATTATCCACAATACATAGTTTGTTTTAAAAAAAGTCATAAGATACATATAGTGCATAATTTGCAATAACCCAAATTAAGGTGAATAAATTTAACAATACAGTTTAGATTTAGAATCCGAATACTCTGGTACATCACTCATGAAAAGTGTTTGAGAGTTGGTTGCAGAAAGCAAATATAGGAATGAGTGTAGACTGAACCTCAGAAATTGAGCATTTAGGGTAGATTGTCCATTTGGAAAATACAACCCATGAGGAAAGTATTTCAGTTACTTTCCCCACTGCACTTCTCATTGGCACTCCAGCTCATCCCTTCTGGTATTGCCGATGTCTGGTGATGTGTTCTATGCAGATGTCCCTCAACCACCTGATGGCATCTGACACCATGAGTTGCCACATCAGCAGAGTGTAGCACTGACCAATTCCACATTCTCTCACTTGCTCATTACTGGGGTCCCATATGCCCAGGGCTCCGACGATCAGCGTGTCTGTCTGAATCTGGTAACCCTTAGCTCTCAAGGCGTCGCCCAGAGGGGCGTATTTCTCCATCTTTTGAGTTCTGGTGTTGCGGAAGGCTGGGGTCCTGCTCTCCAAGGGCACTGAGATGTCCACCATGATGATCTTCTTCCAGTCCTCACTGGTGATGACTACGTCAGGTCGCAGTTGGCTGTCGGTTCCGGGGATGGTGGAGTTCACGGCAACCTTCTCTACGGGTGGTGGGATGGCTCTGACCAGGCGATCTTGTATGGTGGTGTGTTGCAGCTGCCAGGCTCTGGAATGGGGCTTTCAGCTACACAGGATATGGGGTAGCGTCTCACTGGCATAGCTGCACTTCCTGCATTGCTCGTCCTGATTCCCATGAAGGACGGCTCCATTCAATGGGATGCAGTTGAGCCAGGCCCTGTGGATGAACCTCCAGTCGGCAAATTGGATGAAGCTGCCCCCGGGGAGGAAGTGGTTGCTGGCTTCCCACTTGCATGTCACCTCGAATGCCTTGCCCTGGTCCGCCTTCCATTCAGGTTTTCCATGTATTGCCAGCAGATGGCATCCTTCGAGAGCTAGAACCATGCTGGAGAGGACCCTGGAGCGATGCTAGTGTGGCACAAGGACTCCCAGCTCCTGGTATTCCTCACACCTCATCCAGCAGCAGCTGATACACTTCTCTAGCTGTTGCGTAGTGTTGCGGGCATGAGTCCAGAGCGAAGTATGCATATCTAACCATACATTAAGTTTCAGAGTAGCAGCCATGTTAGTCTGTATTCGCAAAAAGAAAAGGAGGACTTGTGGCACCTTAGAGACCAACACATTTATTTGAGCATAAGCTTTCGTGAGCTACAGCTCACTTCATTCGGAATGCATCCGATGAAGTGAGCTGTAGCTCACAAAAGCTTATGCTCAAATAAATGTGTTGGTCTCTAAGGTGCCACAAGTATGCCATACATTAAGTGTTTACTTTATGCACCTGACAACAAACTGATGTTGACTAAAAAGATAGTAATTTGACACCCAACACTTCATAATACTCAAAGTAAGATACAACCCCTAAACTTATAACTAGATAGGAGACAAAAACATCTTTAGTGTAATCTAAACAAAACATATTGACTATCCTCATCAATCTGTCAGAGTATCTTGGTGTACACTACCTATTTCCTGTTTTCAAGATTATGAGGCAGAAAGCTCAGTTTTAATTCTACTTTTAATCTCCATGAGATTCTGAGCAACACACAATCCCAGTTAGACCAGTTCTATATTAAAGCTATATATAGACATCAAGCTCTTGAAACACTTGCTAGATAACAGGAATCCAGTTCAACCAAAATCCCTTTAAAGACTAGAGAGGGGTTCCAATTTCAAAAAACAAGGTGGCTGAAAACAGATTAATAGCTTGCTGGTTTGCCTGGAGAAAGAACTGAACTACTATCATAGAGGGGTTGGAACCCATTTCTATTCTGACCCATTAGGTTCTCTCTCCAGTCTTAACAGCAGGGAAAATCCACTGCTGGTTGTGAAAGATTGTCAGCCCTGTTAGTGTGTGATCATGTAACCCTCTAGTGGCTGAAATGTACAAAAGCAGTTTTCAACTTTTTTAAGCCAAGACATACCTGATTAATTTCTACCTGAAACTCAGATCTCCCCCAACTCAAAACAAACATGTTCTCTCCACAGGTACCGTTGCGGAGAGTGGACCAGATGATATGTCTGGGGCGAGAAAGCAGAAGGAGACTCTGCTGGTTGGAAGGCATGAGATGCTATGTCCTGAGGTTGGGAGTTCCACGACCACCACTCCCAAGAGGAGAAGGCGGGTGGTGGTGGTCGGGGACTCTCTCCTCCGGGGGACTGAGTCATCTATCTGCTGCCCTGACCGGGAAAACTGAGAAGTTTGCTGCTTGCCAGGGGCTAAGATTCGTGATGTGACGGAGAGACTGCCGAGACTCATCAAGCCCTCGGATCGCTACCCCTTCCTGCTTCTCCACGTGGGCACCAATGATACTGCCAAGAATGACCTTGAGCGGATCACTGCGGACTATGTGGCTCTAGGAAGAAGGATAAAGGAGTTGGAGGCGCAAGTGGTGTTCTCGTCCATCCTCCCCGTGGAAGGAAAAGGCCTAGGTAGGGAGCGTCGAATCGTGGAAGTCAACGAATGGCTACGCAGGTGGTGTCGGAGAGAAGGCTTTGGATTCTTCGACCATGGGATGGTGTTCCAAGAAGGAGGAGTGCTAGGCAGAGACGGGCTCCACTTAACGAAGAGAGGGAAGAGCATCTTCGCAAGCAGGCTGGCTAACCTAGTGAGGAGGGCTTTAAACTAGGTTCACCGGGGGAAGGAGACCAAAGCCCTGAGGTAAGTGGGAAAG